AATTACTTCTAACTTAGAACCCTATTGATTTTCAGAATTTTCGGTTCATCCTAACTACTTTAATATCAATTTTCTTAAAATCCGCTTATGCATTTCTTATGTGACAATTTTAGAAATTCCAATTATTTCTAACGTCAATATTCCTAACATTCTTTACATTCCATATATTGCAAACATTCTTTAACGACGTCAAACAACAGCTGTTGATAATAAAGGTAAAATTTCTAAGGCGGGTTGCGACCTTCATATTTGCAACTATAGCCATTTTAAATGCTATTTTTATTCGAAATTAGTCGCCAAGCCTGCCAATTTATGAAAAATATATAAGCAGTTTCCTAAAAATAATTTTTTTATGGTGGTGCTAACTTAAGCATACTACTATTTCGCCCCTGGCCACAAAAAACACCTTCATCGAATTTACTGGCTCTCTGTCGCAACCCCATAGAATAATAAACTCGCCATTTTATTTGGCAAAAATCAGAATAATGTTTGTCAAGTATCAAGATGTCAACTGTGATGTGTGAATGGCTCTTAAATGTCAAATTATTTAAAATTGTGTGCTTCTTCTAATATTTATTGCAAATAATTTGTAGTGTATCTCAATTAAGGCTTTCCATAAATAAAGGTACAGCAAGACAGATAACATAATGTTCTTATACAAAGCACTTTCTTATTATATAAAAGAGAAGTAGGATATAATGCTGGTTTATGTATTCAACCAGCGAATTGCAAATAATAATTAGTAAACTCCTAGTCATAAATTTTCTCAATTCATTAAATTTAAAAATTAATCTTCTTACCTTGGGATTTTAATGACGTAATGTGATCGACCCATTTCAAATTTTGATCAATTAAGATACCGAGGTATTTTGTGTTTTTTATTTTAATTATAAAGTTGTCCTTTATTTGTATGTTGAAAAAAGGCCTCTGTAAATTACATTACTCTCTATGGATCTACTTTAACATAAAAATAGTTTTGTTGCTATAACCTATCGTCTCAAAACTATTAATAATTTGAACATAGTAAGTAGTAAAACGAGGGGTAAAATAACAATCAATTAAGGGAAATACTTAAAAAGGGCAGGTTTAAAGAGTATTATCACAAGAAAGTATATCCGTTCTGTTTGTTTATCAAGTATTGTTTGAGGTTACTTTTGAATACATTTATTGTTTTTAATTTCTGTAGGCAGTCTATTAAATTTTTTAAACCTTTATTAAAAATTATATTTTGGGAACTTTTAGTGATGGCTTCAAAGTCAGATTGGCTTCTTGTATTATAGTTGTGATATTGCGAATTATATTGAATTTTTTCTAATAGATCTGATGAGATGGTACTGTGATTTTTATTTTATAAATAAATATCAGTCATGTACTGAACATAATTCTGAACTGAAATCCAATTTATTACTTTTAACATATTTGCAATATTCATCCTTCTGTTCTTTATTAATAGAATATAAATAGGCGAAATAAGGAGCCCACATAGTTTACATGAGCAGGCTTAAGAGGTAAAGGGGCCAATTATAATTGGATAAATTGCTCGAACAAGTTTTTAAACCCTAATCAAAAGGCGATATAGAATGGTTTTAAAACTCAAGGCTAGTGAAAATCATCGCATGGTTAAACCTAAGTAATGCCAATGCTTCACAAAACAAAAAATTGAACGTCCTAATACTACTATCGGTTTTCGGTCTTTCATTCCAAGTTAAATCATTTCTCGTTTTTGTTTCGCTACAAGTTTACCCTTGTGGGCCTCCGTTTCGATAAGGTGGGAACCACCATTTTAGTGTCTCTCGAATTTAACAAAATCTTGCGTGCACTTTTCGCACTTTACGCACAAGTTCAAAGTTGCTTCCTCTTTGCGGTTTATGTAGTCACCCCAGTGTGCTTTATGTTTTTCTCTATCTTAACGTGTGAACAATCCAGTGCTCTAATAGTAGTCCAAAATCTAAACTGACTTGCCTACAGTTCTTTAGCTTTCATTACGGCAAGGTGACTTTTCGGAAACCGATCCAACAACTGGTCTCTTAAATTATTTTTGTTACCACCATTCAAACTGTGCGAGAAACAGTAAACTGCTAAATGCCTAGCTCTTTCGCTTTGGAAACCAGGATTTGTCAAATATCTCAAACCTATTTTCATTCTCTGGATAGGTGATAAAGTACCACCACACCGTTCTACGCTCAGCCTAGAATGTTTTGAGTTAACCAATTCACATTTTTCTGTTCAAACCGGAACATGTTCTTAAAATCATTAGTTCGCGGTGTATGCCGTTGTTTGTAGTGTTTTACATTTCGGATATTTAACATTTCAGCCATTTTTACTTGCAACCGCACAACCGTGTAAAGACAGAGGAAGGCCGTTCCACGTTGAATTCGCGAAACCTCTGATGCCAGTGAACAGCAGCACATTTTTTCCGCAAGTAAATGCTCCGAGTTGTAAGCAAATGGTTGGCTTTATTCATACGTTTAAAGTAAATCCTTTTATTTCGTGAGCATTTGCTTCCTTCTTTTTAGCGAAAGGATTTACTTACAATTTTATTCATACCCCTTAAATTACTTTACATTTTTTAAGTATAAGCAAATGCTCGTTTTTATTCATATGGCCCATAATCAGATATCTTAAAATTAATACATATAATACGCAATACGGATTATTTGAATTTTCAAAATTGTATTGAAAGGGGTTTAAAGGTTAAACTATCATTATGTTCAGATTTACCTTTTAATCCCTTTTAAATATCTAATGAACGCACGGTTGGGTAAATTAGGGGGTATTTGTTTGTGTTATTATTTTTTTGTTACTATTTTACTTAAATAATTGTAATTTAACAGCCGGTGTGCTATTTAGATATAAAATAGATATGCTTACCTACTCTCGAAGATCAGGAAACGTGAAAGTCTCTGAATCACTATATTCACTTGATGAGACATTATTTACCGATATTATTAAAGATATCACTGTAATATGGACATCCAAGATTTTGTCTAGATTCCACATGTTTTTTTCTTCTTTTAACACATGCTCGTTTGCCTTTTGCCGATGTTCCTTCGTAACAAGTGATATGGGGGTTTTTTATACTGCTTCTACATCTTTATACTTAAATATCGTATTATGTCTACCTACATATCCTTTAACTTGTGCCCATATCAGTTTAATAGGATATGGTTTGCAGGGATAGGGAGGAATATGCACAACATCAATATAATATGATTTTGCAAGTTTATCCACTACATAACATACTGAGGCTAATTTAATTTTACAATTTCTAGTAGTTCTATTTTTATTGATTTTTCTAGAAAATTAATGCTTCTATCTTAATAATATCATCTTGCTTCCACGAAGTATTTGGCACACGTTCAATTAGACGGTAATGGTAACTAGCGTTATACATTACTATAACTTAACCCTTTAGTAAATGTATTATCATCAGATAAAAATATTCTTTAAAAACATCAGCGTTTATATCTTCATGGTAGTCTTCGGTTTTTTAGATTGAAATATTAAAGAACCACGTTTTGAAAACCAGTCATTACTTCCAATATGAGCTATAATTAGACGTCGTCCTTTACCAGAAGGAATCTTAAATGTTGTAGATAATCCTTCCAAAAAAGCATGTCGTGAAGATTGAATGTTTTTATCCTGCCACATGTATAACTGCTAACTGTGTAACCTTCATTCACCCAGGTTTCATCCAAATAAAATATTTTTTTCGCCTTCTGCACGTAATTTAAAAACAGTTCTGAGGCATCTCCGTCTTTAACAAACAATTTCTTCAGAACCAATAAGTGCTGTTTTCCTGTCCTGTTTATCCCACTTGAACTTCAAAGCTATTAGAGTTTCCCGTAGTTGTGTTTTTCCCATTTCAGAAAAATATGGATCACCATTTTTTGCGTCCAAAACCTTGGAAAATGATATAATCATTTTTCTTACCTTCTGCATTTTTCTTTGGGTGTTTAACAACTTCACTTTTTAATTCACTTATAATTTTATATATCGTTAATTTGTTTACATCCATCTTATTACTTGTCTTTTAAACAGTATCGTCGACAGAAAACAAAGAATTTTCCATTCTTAGGCAACTGATCAAGAAACTAATTGCAACTGCCTATCTTATTATAATACCAAATCCTAGGTAGGTAACCATCCTATAATCACATTCGTTCTTATCATTTTGGTTTTTCCATGGCATTAGTAATCTCCAAGAAGATGATAAGATAACGATTAATTCATAGATTATAGATTTCTTGACATCAAACATTTCCAAGAATTCAATAATGAATAACGATTTAAACAATTTAATGTAGGTATACCTAATAGTCAAATTCATAGGTCTTGAAAAATATTTGTTATATACCTTGTTGTTAATTTACATATAACTTTAACATTTACATAACAATTGCAAATAACTCAAAAAACATTTTGTTAAGACCTAAATACCAAAATAATACCCAAAAAATATATTTTAAAATGATTTTATGTACCCCGTAAATAATAATATAGGCACCCACACCTCAAATTTCCTAATCTGACAGATTTATTATTACGGCTAGATCATGAATCTACTATAGTTAGAGAATACTAGGAATACTAATATGAATTACTATAATTTTATGCAAGTCTTATCTGATGCTGGTTTTGGTTATAAAATAATCATTATTAGGCCACAAAAAAAGACGATGAAGAACATTACATTACTATTTATCACTAGGTTGAAAGAATTTTTGTTAAATAATGATGCTATGTTAAATTTTGTTAGAGGTTGAGAATGAAACGATGAAATTCAAATCATTAAAAGAATAAATGTCTGTAAAAAAAATGTTCTTTTAACCTGTTGCTACACTTTTAGCTGAAAATAGTCTAATAAACTCGTTAAATTAATAATTTCAGTAAACCCAGAGCCTATTCAAAATAAAAACCTAGTGAATTTAAAATTTCTTAATATAAAACTATTTATTTAACTTGAACGGAATCAAATAATTATGGTTTATCAATTTTAGGTTATTAGTAATTTAGTTTATCCAAGACCAAGTTACCAGTCTAATCCATTGGAGAATTTGAAAAATGAAAAATGTCAATGGCCACAGTGCTTTATTTATTCAAAGAATGATGATTTAATCCCTTTTGAGGTGAGACTATAAAATTTACATATGTATTTATCTATATTTTTTGCAATAAAAGTACAATACACAAATTGTAATAGTCGGAGTTTTTTAGCCACGAATTGAAGGGTTGCCTAAAAGTGTGTGACGTTCTAAGGTAGTAAGGTATAGTTGGAGATAAAAGTATTCTTTCTCTTTCAGCAAAACAAAGGAAATCATATAAAAACACGTCTAAAGGCAACCCAGGGACAGACCTAATTAGTAGTAGTTACGTTTCAAACAATAAATGTTTTTAAACGTATTTAAATATCATCACATTATTTGCATAATTTACTTCTTCGATTATTTAATAAATATCACTAAATTTAGTTTTAAATGCAACACTTAGGTACAAAATTGATCTAAACTAAATATTCACGATTTGTAATAAAAATCGCCATGAAACTATAATATTTCATCTACTATTTTATTTTCTTAAAGTATTTAATTATTACATTGAATATTAAAAATCAATGAAGGATGTTACGAAAAGTGCTTAAACAACTCTTATTATTAAAGAAATAAATTACTGTGGAATGTATTAGTCTGGCTTTAATTTTTAAAGTGATTCAAGCATGCAAGCCTTCTCAACACGTCAAGGTTACATTCCTAGAAAAGGAAAATAAAAACAATCCTATGTTCCTTTTCAAAATATCGTGAACCAACAGATACGTGGTTACATCAGAACTATCATCTTCACTTGACGTGTCATTTAGTTTTACAATACAAGACTGAGCTGGAAATATTCGATGGTTATTTTTAATTTTGGCAACACGGATAACGCAATTGGAGCATAGTTCTTGAGATATACCTCCAACAACTTCTGTGATAACATCTAAAACGGTTTCAGACAACGTAGGATTATTTTTTTACCTCAATTTTGATATTATTCCAATATAGCATTTAATGTAAGATAATACGGTGGTAATACGGCATGAACGAATGCCATAGCCATCTAATCCACAACATAGCTAGGTTTGAGATTTAAGCCTCTCAATATTACAAGAAATCACTTTTAGAAATTCACTAGTTTGACTATAACAGTATTTGGTGGCAAATTTCTTAAACATGGTATATGTCATAATATTGGTAATAATTAATCTGCTGAACAACTCAAAATATCCTTGGCTGATAATAGCAAGCAATTTGACATAAAACCGTTTTCATTACCGAAATTTAATATTAAAATACATTTTCCTTTATTTGGAGGAGAATTCACAGAACATTTAGCAGATTGATCACTCCATCCTTTTTTCATAATATCTTGAGTGTCGTACTAAGTCTCATAAATATACACTATGAATCTATCTTGCCGAGCTTCATCTACTCTAGTGAGGTACTCATAATTCTTTAATATTCCCAAATATGCTGTTTTCTATTTAAGGTAGTGTTCAAATTACATTTGAACACTCACGCAGCATGCGACAACACAACAATTATCTCATTTATCTCATACATAACACCACCTTTACACATAAAAATAAAGTCACACCTCTAACAATCTCACTAGCGAAGCCACGCCTCACGAAATAAAAATCAATAAATGTGTAACCAATCAGAAATAAAATACATGACGTAAGCTTAACCATTTCCATATCACGGAAGTGCGCTCTAAGTTTTTGTAAAGAGACACAACGAGTTGGTCTGCAGACGCTCCATCGACAAGATGTAAAAATTGTTTTATCTCATAGAACCATGTTTGTTAAATTATAATTTAAGTTAAGTGTTTATAGTTCTTCGGCAGTTTGGCATTATAATATGTAATCCATTTGTTTATTTAAAAAATAACAAAAAATACTGTACGCCAGCCTGTGCTTCTCTATTCTTCATTCGTCACAGTCATCTTGTCTTTTTTTTTTGCTTTCTCGTAAAATCTCGTTGTTTTTAGATTACAATTTATTAAATTCCTGGATTTGTTGGAGCAGCTCGGGGGGGGGGGGGGGAATTACCCTATTACCCCCTTCCTTGTATCCGCGCCTGTACCTAGATAAAGGACAACCGCTTTTAGAATAGATTTAACCTCTTTTTACGCTGCCTAGTTTAGAAATTGTATTATTCAATTTTCAATACAACCCAAAAGCAATTTATTCAAGTAAATTACTCCAAATTGCAAACAAACTAATAAAATTACAAAAAAAAAGTTGTAATAGAATCTCCCATGCATTTAATACCCGCAAAGGTGTGACTAAGCATATATGTGCGCTGTTATACATGTTAAATTACAACATAAAATATTTGCTAAAACAGTAAAAACAGTTTGTTGCAACATTATTATAGTAATAGTCTAAGCATTACAATTTATTTTTAAGGTTTGTCTGATACCAATTAAAGAACTATTAAATGGAATATTATGTTACATTAGTTGTATTCCAAAATTAAGTCTTTCATTTTTTATATATAGCTACAGAGTGTCACAAAAAAATGCTGACAAATTATAAAGGGTGCATCCATTGTTCTCTAACTGTGGTTCATTAAAATTACATTACAAAAAAATCGTAATAATTAAAAAAAAAACTTACCTAGGATATTGAAAATAGTTGGAAAAACGGTTTAAACACACATATAGTCAATATAATCGGTAAATATAACGATAAAATACACTAACACTTGCACAAATGTCTATTTTATATCAAAAAACTAACGAGTTATCCGAAAATATAAAATATCGAACTGTGTTGAACAAATATTCGAAAAAGAATGAAGAATGATACATATTTATTTATCTAAATTACTCACTGCATTCTTTTGTAACAGGTAATTTTGACTTGAAAGAAATTTAAAATATACAGGATGGCTACTACACATATTTTTAACGAAAATAAAATACGTTTTACAAACTAAAAATAATAAGGTTTACTGGGGGGTAGGTAGGCTCAGTGGGGTAAAATTAATTTTTCGTTTCTTACAATATTTTCTTTAATATTTAAATTTTGTATGGTTAAATCATTAGCATGTTATCAATTATGAGATTAGATATAGACCTGTGCTCTACTGGATAAAGAAAACTTAATGTTTTAATTCTTAGAATTTCTAAAGTTTTTTCAAGTCTGTATGGTATACCCTGTAAATATGACCAAAAAACGTATAATTCATTATTTGACAGCTGTATATTTTAAATTTTTCCAAGTCTACTTTGTTGAAATATACAGGGTGAGGCACCGAAAACGAAACAGATCGCATATCTTGAAGACACATTTTTTTGGAGAAAATGCATAAAGAGGTCGATTTTTATTTCAAAGGGAACATCTTTCGATCATATTTTCAACTATCCTACATCCCTCCCCACTCCTCTGTCACTATTACCAATGAAATTGAAATAGGGAAAGTACTAACGCCCATATGCACCGTTTTAAAATCTAATTCAGATTTGCAAATCTCGTTTAAATGGCTAGGGATTATTTTCTATGCACCGGCTACGGATTAGATAATCGAGTTTAGTAATCTGACAACACTGGAATTTTATAAATTTCACAAAAAAGAGAAGAAGAAAACATCAGATTTGAGTAGGAAAAATGTTTGTCAGAGGATAAGAGGCCGTTGAAAATAGAAGCCCTATTTTTTAAATGTATCAAAACCGTTAACACGCCGTAAAACGTATACCGAATTCTACGCAGGGTGAAAAAAAAAATGTCAAATAATTTTATAAAAATAATTCTACAGTAAGATGGCGATTACCATTATGTTAATTTTTGGTAATTTTAACATATATACATACAAGCTGCTGTATTTCAAGCTTTTTTATGCAAAAGATATACCTATGTGAATATTTGAATAGTTGGATTTAAAACTATGGACGGTAACGTAATCAGACATACAAAAAAAATATATGTTATAATTGGATAAAAATAATAGTCAAACGCAAATACAGGAAATTGTAAGGAAAGAAAGGCTGGAAGAAAATTCATTGGAAACTACAACAAATGTCACAAGATGTAAAAGGAAGATTAAAAAGCCTACCAGGTTTTAATGTTTTTTGGTGGGAGTTTGCTAATTATTGTTGTATTTTTGTATTGTTGCTGTTTCCATAAATTGTAATTGTTTTTTTTAGTAGCACTGTATCGCTTTTGAGTAAATCAGTAAGTTTAAATATCTATATTTTTTTGTAGGATATTGAGTACTTCGCAGGCTACAGGAAAAAATTGGGAATCGACGTCACTACAGTGTGCTATGAGAAGAGTCTACATGTAAAACATCTGGCGGAAAACAGGGATAGCTATGTGAAAACCGTATACAACTTTATTAACAAATGCCTAAACGGAAATAATTAGTATTAGTTTTTTGACTTTAGGTATCTATAAACGCATAAAAAATTTATATTCAAGGTTCTAGTCTCGGGAACCACTAAAGAGGAGTTTGACATGAAAAATTACTAATTCTAATTACACCAATAAAGCGATAGTTTAGACATATTCAATTTGTATATCGTTCATTGTCTTAGCAGGCTTTAACAATGTATTAATTATTATAATTTTCGTAGAAGTGCCATAATAGCCGATTGTTTCATTTTTATTCTGTTAAACCTTTTGTTCCGTTTTTCAGTAAATAATTCCACATCTTTGGGTTCTTAGCTGTGTTCTAAAATTTGTTGGTTGTCTTGAGACCTTTGCCGAATTGATCTATCTGTCATCATATTTTCGTTTTAGATGGTCATACAATAGCGTGTCATTTGCCTGTCACCAGATCCCCAACTATTCTCCTTATTTTATAGTAATATTTTTGGACCTGGACCTACAATGATGGTTTTGAAACTAAGCAAGGCTGTGGAATATACTCTAGATAGTTAAACCTAAATATGTAATAGACTATAAGCAGTAGTGCTAGTAAAGTTTAAACTAAGCTCAAGTGTTTTCGCATAGCAGCAGCAAAAGAAATAATATCACTGGAAGGAATATACTCATTCATAGGTACAGAAGAAAAGCACTACCCTAGAATATTATCAAGCCGTGGTAGAAGTATCTATTAATAATGTGGCCGCCTTAAAATAGTTTATTGATCAAACTCTGAATTCCGCAGCGGATGTGAACAAGAACATGGAAACTATCCAGAACACCCTCTATGACTACCCAATGCTCTCATTTCTTAGATAGCGATTCTCAAACTATTTGAAAAACCCTCAAAACAATATAATATGTGCCTGTTTGGTGAAACAAAGAAATTCAAAATTTGGTTCGATGTTTCAATATTAGATAGATCAGGTTCCTGTACTTATCTTGCAGGCAAGTGTTGGTTCGATGTTTCAATATTAGATAGATCAGATTCCTGTACTTATCTTGCAGGCAATTGTATGTTAGATTAGATTTGAATGGAGTTGGACAGATCTTGTAGGACTCCGCTTTGATAGTGGCTCCCGTATGTAGTTCCATGCGTCTGAATTTTCTTCTCCTTATGTTAGAAATTTCAATCTAGTCAGGTCTTCACACTGGCACAGGACATGGATTAGGGTTTCATCTTCTTCTTCACGGAACCTGCACAATATTGCTTCTTCTGCTGTATTGAAGACAGTCACGTGCCTTTTTAGGCCACAGTGGCCAGTAAGAAGACCTACTGTTATACTTACAATTTGACGTTTGTGATCGAGTAGGTATTTCGTGAACTTGGGTCGATAGTTCCTCGATGAACTGTTTGGCCTGTTTTAATCTTGGATAGTTCTTTAACCATTCCTGGGACTCTTTTTACATACATTCTTTGACTGATGCCTTGCAAAATGCCTTAGCAACTCCACAGAAAAAGTATATATAAAAATTCCTTTCTCACATAGATGTGAAAAGGGATAATAAAGTTTTAATGGGGTTTTCCGCCAAAATGGGAATTTTGTTTTGCCCTGAGCCAAAGGTCACCCACAACACTTAGATCTCATTATTCTGCATCGTTTTACGTAGATGAGCACCTCCAAGTTCGTGAGTCAGCCTACAGATTTAATGTAGTTGACAACGTCACCAAGAGGTGCTTCTCTTATATTGACCGATGTTAGACAGTTCTCGTAGAACACAACTCTTTTAATAAATAAGAGCACCGGGCATTTGTAGAGGATATGCTTGATGGTCTCATCTTCTTGTACGCATCTCCTGCAGAGTGCGGATTCTGCTAGCCCCATGGTATAAAGATGCTTCCGTAGTTGGTAATGTCCAGTCAGAATTCCTGTGATCAGGCGCAGATTCTGTCTAGTCATAGTCAAGTATTTGTTTGCTGTAGTGTTGTCAGGATAACTTAAAAGCTCCCTGGCAATCTGCAGCTTCTTGTTAGATCCCATCCTTCCTTGAATTTTCCAAAGAAATGTTCTTTAATTAAGTTTGTCACTACTGATGTTGTCAGTCCAATAGAGGGGCTAGATCCAAAAAGTATTTGGTTGGCTGCCTTCTCGGCAAGTGAATCAGCAGGGCGAATACCTTTCAATGTGGCGTGACTTTTGATCCATCTTAAGTTGACCACATTGTTGATGTATACTTCGATACTTCGGATAAAGCCTTGTGACTTTCTAGAACTAACCTTGAATAAATTCGTGGTCTATCCAGGGTGAGTAGTGCTTGTCTGCTATCTGCATAGATAAGCATGTTTCTTCCAGTGATATTATTTCTGGTGATTTTTTTTGCTACTATGACAATACCCGTGAGCTCGGTTTAAACTACACTGGTACTACTGTTCACACCTCATTTAATGTTTAGGTTTAAGGACCCGGAGTATATTCCAGATCCTAAGCCTTGTTTTGTTTTAGAACCGTGTTGGTGTAGATATGAATCGCACCTGCCACTTTTCGCGCTTTGTTCTCTTATAACTTTATATGGCTTATGGAAGATATATTTCGCTGAAATTGTAAATGGTGCTGAAGGACCCAAAACATACGTCTATCATGCAATTTATAAGAAATAATAACACCTTGACCCTGTGAAGACAGAGTTAAATAATTAAATTTAAAAAAAATGTTTGCTAAATGTGCAAACTTTTATAATTAAAGAACATCGGATACACAAGAGGATAAATAAAATGGATTGTCAAAAAAATGCTTGAACTTTGGAATTCAATTCAAATAAGCAGATTAAAACTTTTTCACGATACTGGCATCTGATTTTTGTATGAAGCAGTAAGGAAACGTGGAAACTTCTAAAGTCTCCATAAAGAACATGGATTAGACCACAATTGGTAGCACACGATTTTATAAAATTTACAATTTTTACAGCTTAAGATGCTGTTTAACTCTTCAGGAATATGTTTACATGCTAATACTTATCTATGAATACAGCAGTGACTCCATTGAATATTCTAGTTAATTTAGTGACGGGAAATGCTGAATTAGAACATAATAATTTGGTTAAAAGTTGACCAGGGATTTACTTAACTAAAAATAAATCTGTTTGACAACGACACTGATAGCTCAATTGAGTCGATCAAATTGTAAAATGTAATATTTGTATAGAGTGTTCTGTGGATTTGTGGTTTTATTTAAGTGAGTTTAGGTAACCAACAATCACTTCAGTTTTATTAACAATCCTTTATGCTGTGATTTGTTAAATGAAGTTATGAATTTATACGAAGGATCCACACTAAAACCAATTAAAGTCCACTGGAATTATATTTACGACAGAGCTAAAAGTAGATTTCAAGATCTCTGGCAAGAAAACTACTGATGATACTAAAATAACTAAAAACGTATTTTTCTTACATAGTAGAAACAACGAACGTCTTATTAGTCTAAATTCAAAAATGTTATTTGGTACTTAAACGAAATATTATTATCATAAAAATCAGCAAGCAGAGGCGGCTCGTGGCCGATTCCACTTTTGAAAGGCACTTAAGATATAAGGAAATGTATCGGAACTCCTCTAATAAAAGACACTTTTTATTTATCAGAACTTAAGTAATCTACCACTTTTTCAATAAAGTTGTCCATGTACAAGTAGGTTATAGTTTTGCCAAATTTTGATACTAGTTCAATCAAACACTTCGACACCTTACAGGTGAAATGACGTAACCCTCAAAATTATAAAAATGGGTTTTCCCCTCTTTTCGAATGCACGGGGTCAAAATCATTAGTAGATCAAAGGATGTATCTAGTAACCTATATTTAGTGCCTCAAAACAATCATGATAAAAAATATCATCACCTGCAAGATTTTTTATGTTTTGTTAGGTTTTTTTACTCTCCTGAAAAAAAAAAAATACATTTTGTGGGTTACATTATTTGACATATGAGATGTCGATTATTAAGTCAACAAATACCAAACAAAATCAAACTGTGGAATACATTATAACAAAATAATAATTATTGTTCTTCCATTTTAAAGGGTAGATGGTCATCGTCCTATAAGTTGTAAATTTTAAAGCTGATATCTGCGTATTTTAATAATTTTTGGACGTAATAGTAAATAGGAGGGCTCGTACACGTTGTATCCAGACATAGTGTCATCATTTTCAGCTTGATTGTTCTAAATGTGGACCCATCAAATACGAAAGATATCATAACTGGTGTAGTTTATACTCGCACTGGTTAGGTTATTGGATATTAGAGGAGATTTCAGAATAAAAGAGACTATATCTCTGCGTATCTATTAGATGGGGGAGGGTCGGTTGCTCCAGAGCACTTAAGCTCTATTGGACACATTAGACATTATCTAGAGACATGCATAGGACATCATGCCTCTCAACTTGTCAAAAACCTGCTGGTTCTCGGTGGGACGTATCTAGCACATCAAAGTTCTTCAGGTTATCAACTTCTGCTTGTTTTCGCTGGGGGATATCAAGGAATAGCCAGCCAGCCTCTCAGGTCAAAGTCCTGTTGGTTAATAACATCGCCTAGAGGTATATCTAGATGCCAAATTTTGGAAATGGCTATTTGGTACGCTTGTACCACCACGATGGTAAATGCTTAAGTAAAGACATTCTGTCCGCCCCTTAACCGGAGATATACTATTAAAGTATTGATAGAACAAGACCAGGGTCCTATTTCATAAAACTACCTTGCAACTTTTCACTTTTCATTTTGCAAATTTACGAATGCAAAATACTTGTGTTTCATACAATAATAACGTTGTCTTTGTAGAATATTAATGTTTACTCTGTACTTTTCAAATTTTACTTTTTAACTTGTCAAATTTCTCTTTTATTAAACATAAATTTACTAAAATGTGCAAAGTGCAAAGTGAAAAGTTGCAAAGTAGTTTTATGAAATAGATCCCTGGTCACAAACTGTATACACAAAGATAGTAAATTTGAATATGTCAAAACAATCAATACCAAATTCTAAAAAAAATTTATTTTGAATAAGCTAAGGTAATAATTTTAAAATAAGCAAAATTCATAATTTATTAAATTTAAATTTTTTAAACCGAATAAACATTTATTGTTCTAAATGCTAATCAAAAAAGAACTTTGAATAATATAATTTAAAAGTTAAACTCCACTATAAGTAATATTATAGTAAAAACATTTTATTAAGGGGTCCATATTTTGCGCATGTTCGTTAATCGGTGAAAAATACGTCAAACCGGCGTGTTTTGACAAATGGACTAATCGTGGTTGATTATTTGATTGTTTGTAGTGCATAATTCAAGCCTCTTTTATTATTTAGACTAAGTTGTGTTCTTTTATTTATTATTTAAAACTTTTGTCAGTTAAAGAAAATATTTTGTAATTATTTTTCTTAGTGTAGAAATAGGTGGAAAAAACGTCAAATATCAATAAAACTATAACCACTTCTACATGAAAGGAGCCGATACAAGTGCTATTGTAATACTTATACTGGGATTAAATGTTTATTGATAATAT